TGTGTGTGTGTGTGTGTGTGTGTGTGTGTGTGTGTGTGTGTGTGTGTGTTTCTGTATGTACACCTATGTGCCCTTAGAAGTCAGAGTCCAACCTTGGGAATTTTTCTGTGCCATCTAACTTAAAGATTTCTTTTGAGACAGGGTCTCTCATAGGCCTGAAGCTCACCAGCTCCACAGGCAAGCACCAGCTCCATGCTCCAGGGAACAGGCTCTGCTTGAAGGAGGGGGGTGGGCAAGGGGAGAAGTAATGCAGAGACTTGGGCGAAAGCCAGGCAAAATGGCTAAGGATAACCATAACCAGTGGGAGAGCATCATCTTGGGGTTCCTGATCTTTTCTCACAAAGGAGCACAGAAAAGCAATTTTTCTTATAATCTCACTAATTTAAAAGAAAACTACCCTGAAGCACCTCTGCGCCATGGAGACACAGAAGCCCAAGTCAAGCCATTCTGGCTTTTCCTAATCCTTTTATTTCAGGCAGGAAGCTGAGGCCCAGGGACCAAGTCACTTTTCAGGGCTCATATAGCAAGTCACAGCAGAACCAATCGGAGCCTAGTCCCTGGACTTCTGGGAGACACATAACCCTCCTGGTGAGGCTTCAGGTGTGAACCCCATAGTCTTCATTAGACAGACTGTGCAGGAGTGTCTGCCATTGAAGACATGAGGCAGAGTAGGTGGCTGGCGGCTGTATGTGCCTGGCAGCCTACCCTGAAGCAGGTGCACTTCGAAGGAATGGCCCCTTCATGCATCTATTACATGGATGATTCTACCTAGAGGCAGAAAAACACAGCTGTGCTGTCACTGGCCACCCACCCATGACTGCAGCAATTTGCATGAATGACTGACCCTGTGAAAAGGGGAAGTGACTGAGATCTCTATCACAACCCTTCTCTCAAACCTTCTTCCCCTGTGTGTGGAGGAGGTTCCAGATTCACGGCAGAAGTGACCAGGATCCCAACCAAACTTCTCACGGGAGCTTTGAAGAAATAGATTCTGACAGATGGCCTCTAAAGGTCATTTAGGTGACAAGGTGTACAAGAACAGTGGGATGAGGGGATGGGGAGACATTTCTAGTTATCAGAGCGAGGAACAGCAATGGGACAGGTCGTGACCAGACATGGCTTGGAGCACAAGGATGGGACAGAATTCAAAGTCAGCAGTAGAACAGACGCTTGATTCTGAGGCAGGTGCATGGGGGACCCTTTAGGTAAACACCACATTCCTGTCAATTTCCCCACCAGACACCTGTTCTTCTCTCCTGCCTCTTTCTCTGTGTGCAGCCTGCCATGGACACCCAGCAAAAGGTGTTGTCCTTAAACTCAATGCCCCAAGAGTTGGGATTATAGGTATGTGACACTGCATTGGGCTCTACGACTTCACCTTTGGAGGAGAAAATAAAGGAAGAAATATAAATATTCACCCACAGAACACCTGGCTATGCTTGGAGTTCAGAAAGTAGTTAAAGAGTGAGGTAGATTTATCTCCAGGTAATATTTTGAAACAAAATCAAATTGTGGGACAACTCTCAGTAGGGTCCTTGTAAGATACAAGCAACCCCTTAGCCACATACAAGTATGTATTCCAACTTCATGAAGACCTTCCGGAAGGTCAGATAGAAACTGACAAGGAGTTCCACACAACGGAGGGTCAGAGAAACCCTTCCTCTCTTCCTGTTATATTTCTTTTGGAATTATTTTAGAACTTCAACCTTAATTAACTTGCTACCCACATTGTGTTCTTCTGCAACATAATTGGGGTCTTAACCTTCAGGCCCAAGCTTCCTCCATTGGCTGGGTGAGGGTGGTGGGAAGGCACTGGTCTCTTTTCCTGAGTGGAGCAGGCTGGTGTGGGGAGAGTGTGGCTCTTGCTTAGGTGCCACCAGGGATGTCCCTGGAGTTCCTGGCACAGGTGCAGCTATACGCAGCACTAAAGATGTCTATTTTCTTGCGGTCTTTTGGACATCAGTATCTATCAGCAAGGACAGGGTAGCAAAAGCCTATACTGCCTTCATTGTTTTCCCACTATGCCACGTGGTGTCCTTCTTTCTGCCAACCTTCTAGT